GTCATGGCATGATATGTAGGATGTAATGCATAAAACGCTGGTTAAGTACACACTGCTGTTCTTTATGGCTTTCAAATTATAGGGAAATCTTTTCACCTTTGTCCAAGGTGCTGCTGCACAGGAGTTCACATGAATTCATTATCCTCGAGTTAATCATGTGACCCCGTGACCCAGCGCACCACAGCGCAGGGATACTCATTCATATATAGCAGACCCAAGGCTCAATGACAAAGCAACATTTATTGGAAAAGCTGTAAATTGAAAAACACACAGTCAGAGGAACGTCGGCGCTAGTGTCACTGCTGTCACCAAGTGAATTCACTATATGGATTTCAGACTGCTCTGTGGCTATTTCATACTACGTGATTTTCACAGGTTGTTTTTTGACACAGCTTAGCAGAATTGGACCGGTCTGTTACTGAACTACCGCTTGAAGCTCTGTGCTGGTGCCTTATTACCTTATTTGGTAAGGTTAACCTGTAATTCACTATGATAAAAACTAGAACTCTAATTCTGAGTAGCCTGAAAAAAGAAATGAATATTTACCAGAGAAATGGAATGGCCAATTCTTTAACCACAACTTGAATACAGCTGAATGTTGAACCAGAGAAGGGCACCCATCTGTCACTTATAGCAGTGACTCCCCTCAGCTATGTATAACTTTAAGCTTTCAATAACATATTTGCTGAATGTTCCTCAAAAGTTAAACGAATATGAGCTGTATATGTTTAAAACACACTGATAAATAACATCTTAAATGCACATTCATCATGTCAAAAATGAGAGATATGGATCGGTTGATTAACATATGCTGACTGTATTTCTTTCAGGCTAGGAGGAGAGAGCAGAGGAGAGGAAGAGCGTGGCAGATTGATGAGACTCCATAAGAGCAGGAAAGGTGAAGAAGAGGCAGACAGAAGTGACGGAGTTTAAAAGGGGCCAAGATCGTAGAATAGAAGCAGGAGCTCTGAGACCAGGGTTGGTAAAGCTCAAAACTGAACTAAATCGTTTACGTGTCAGCATACAATCTCACAAATGACTGCTTCACCAACATCTTGCTTTTATGTATTTTTTTCTGAGGTTCTACGGCTGCTGCTTAAAAAAACATCAACAAAGGTGAAGAACACACTTTTTAATTTCAGCATCAACCTGATTTGACCTTAAGGTACCGCGGTGTCTGACGTTTTCCATAAAAAGAACATTTTGGTAAGGTTCATGGAAAGTTCAGGGTTTTGGATAAAACTTGTAATTTTAATTAAATATTATAAAAAAATCACATAACAAATGAACACTAAGGGTATGGAATCGACAAGACTAAAATACATTTAAGAGGAAATACTAAATTATTGGAACCATGATGCCAGTCTTGGCAGCCGGGGGTCAGTCCGCCAGGGCCTCCGCTCCTGGCCGCCACCCGACACACAATGCACCCGACCCCTATGGCGCCTCC